TATCTATTTAAACCATCCTATTACTGGTGAGCATTTAGGTAGGTTTCAGCTTGTGGGTTATTATGAATAGTACGGCTTTAAGACAATTTTCTGCATATGTTTTAGTGAACATATATACATATTTCTGTTAGGTATACACCTAGGAGCAGAGGTGGTGTCTCATGGGGTTTGCATATGCTCATTTTCATTTTTAGTAGATACCACCAAGTGGTTTTCCAAAATGGTTGAATTGGTATTGATTGTTCTTCAATTTTTAAAATTGTGGTAAAATACACATAAAATTTACTGCCTTAACTATTTTAAGTGCACAGTTCGGCAATGTTAAATATAGCCATAATGTGGTGCAACCATCACCCCCACCCATCCCCATGTCTTTTCATCTTGTAAAACTGAAACTCTATACCCATTAAACAATAACTCCCCAATCCCTCCTTCCTGTAATTGACTTTTATGTTATATTTCTGAAAACTGTGATGAACTCTGTTATTTATTCTAATAGTCGATTCTGTTAAGTTTTTGTGCATGAAACTTTTACTTTCATTGAAAAATTTTTAGACCAGAGTGTAGGAACACTTTCGTGTTTCTATAGGATTCAGTGTGTTTGTTATATAATTTTGATAAGATTTACCTCACTTTTCAGAAATCATACTTTAGATGTGTGTGAAGAAATAAGTCACCCTAAGATATCCTTACCTTAGTCTCGAAATGTTGTATTTCCTTCAAGTTCTCTGCCGTTTTTCAATTTTTTGTTTGTTTTCTGATTTCCATAATGCCGCTGCTTTCCTTGTAGCTGGTACAAAGGGCTTGTAGGGGGAAGGGAAAGTGGTACTTATTAAATGCCAACGCAGGGTGAGGCACCATACAGGTACAGTACCAGGTGTTGGGTATACTAAACAAACATGGCTCATATTTTTCACTTCCTATGGCTAATTTAGTTATGCAGCAGAGCTTATTCTTTTCTTTATCGGTCCCTTGTGGGTAAAAGAATGTCTGAAGTCCAGTGTCACCAGTTCCATAATAATAAACAAAATCCTTCTTATAAGAAACCTGATCTTCAGAAGGGACACACAGCCTTTCCTCTGCTACCTCACAGCTCTTCCCTCTTCCTTTCTTTAAAGTTTGGCTTATTGAAGTGTAATTTATATGTGGTAAAGTTCATCCTTTTAAGGTGTATAGATTCTATGAGTTTTGACAAATGCATTAAATTGTATAACCACCACCCCAATTAAGATACAGAATATTTCCATTATCCCCAAAAGTTCCCTTCATCCCCCTTCGTCGTCAACTTCTTTCCTCCATTCCTATCCTTTATTTGACTTCTGTTCCTACAGTTTCTCCTTCTCCAGAATGTCATTGAAATGAAATCATAAACTTGTGGCTTTTGTGTCCGACTTCTTTCATTTAGCATAATGCATTTGAGAATCATCCATGTCGTCGCATATATATAGTAATTCTCTCCATTGAAGCATTATTCCAACATGTAACCACAGTTAATTTATCCGTTCACCAGTTGATGGACATTTGGGGTGTTTCCAGTTTGAGGCCTGGAAACTGTTATAAACCTTTATAAAACTGTTATAAATATTTAAGTACAGGGCTTTTTGTTTTCTCTTAGTGAAACACCTAAGAGCGAGATGGCCAGATCACATAGACAGTGTATGTTTAACTGTTACAAACTGACTACCATTTTGGACTCTCACCAGCAATGGATGAAAGCTCTAGTTGTTCTGCATCCTTACCAGCATTTGATATTGTCAGTGTTTAAAAACTATTTTAACCACGCTCGTAGGTGTGCCTGCCTCACCTTTCTATTCCTCCTGATAATGTTGGTCTCTGATCCTTTCGGAGTGGGGAAAGGGAAGAGAGGACAGAGAGGTACTGGGGCCACTGCGAGATGTCTTTGCAGCTCTGGAAGTGGCAGTCTTTGAGACAATGACCCTTTTTCTTGCAGGTGCTTTTGGGATAAAGCTCCCATCTCTGGGTGAACATGCAGTTCTCTCTAACCAGATAAAGGCTAACTCTTAGTTTCTCAAGATCAACTAATCTTGAGAAACTAAGAGTTAGGTCAAGCCCCAGCATGGTGTTAGACAATGAGGCAGTAGCCTTAGCCTCCCCAATGCTGAATTCTGATTGTCTTTCTAGGATGGCCTCCTAGAGAGTGTGCCTAAAGCAACCCACTGACTGGCTCTTTCTTGTGCATTTCCCAAACACGGCCCATGGGAGTACTTCCAAGTCCTTTGCCCAGACAAGCTTTGGGAGTGTAGGATAATTCCACTACAGTATAATCTCTCCTTTATGCACTTCATCAGGCCTATCTCTTGCCCTCTCGATTTCCCCCATGGGAATCAGATAAGTGTCCACTGTGTCTCCCTAATTGTAGGGTAATTAGCTTTCTGAAGCCCCTCTTTATTTTCTCAAAGCAAAGTGAAAAGTAGTACCCACCTTTACCTTCCTCCAGGAGAGAGGCATAAGTCTCAAAACCATCCTCTTTTAAGACATATGCTGCAATCATACTGTTTATAAGTTGATGTGTGAGGAATTCCAAGGGTCATGTAATCCCTTTTGGGACATCTACTTTGAAAGTCCTGCAGGGTATTCTGTCCTTCAATTTAATATGATGTCTGATATTTATAACCTTGAGATCTCATTCCCACCTTCCATTTTAACATTCTGCGATATAACTTCTATTAATCCTAAAAGCAAACTTATAATGAAGGCATTATCATCTCCATTTGATGAAGATGTTGAGGATAGGAGGTTAGGAAGTTAAGTATTTTTCCAAGGCTACCCAGCTGTTGAGACCAGCAGTGGGATTCAAGCCCAGGTCTGTCTGACTCCCGATTCTGTGTTAATTCTATGATACCGTAAAAAACAAATGTCACAAGTTGAACTCTCTGGAAGCAGATGTTGAGACAGAGTGTGTGGGGTTCAAGATGTCTATTAGGATTCAAAATCTGTGAAGGGAAGGGAGAGGAAACAAGATTGGGCAGAGAGAGAGAGAAGCCGATCTGTAGTGCAGGCCCAACGAGGTCTTGGCCACCCTGACGGAGTGTTCTGGAGTGAGTATTAGACATGAGAGCTGTCTCGAGGTGGACTGAAAAGACTGGGCCCGAATGTCCCCACCTCAGTCTTAGATGTGGGCTGCCCCAGGAAGGGCATGGTCTCAGCCGAGGTGGCTTTCTGCCTCTGACCCTGAAAGAAATGATGATGGAGCAACATGTCCTCCCTTGGCGGGGCCTCTGGGTTGCTCACCTCTCTGTCTGAAGCACTAAGAAGACCTAGAATCTCTCCTTGAGGTAACTGCCCCCTTCCCAGTGAGAAACATCCCTGGTTTTGGGGTAGGACAGAGGGCAGAGGTACTTCTGTAAAGGTCATCAACTGGGAGAGGTGCCCAAGAAGGGCTCATTCTGAGGAGCCAGTAGTGGGCCCTGCGGCAGGGGCTGTGGTGCCTGAGGAAAGGGCAGCCTCTGCTGAAGGAGAAGAGGAAGTAGGACTCAGGTGGGTGGGGGCTGGGTCAAGAAGGGGCTTAAAGTTGGAAGGGAGTAGGACTGCAGACCCCAGACTGAGCAAGAAGCCTCCAGCATTTGGTTGTGCTAAACCCACTAAGGGAGTGGCCTGCTTTATTGAGTGACATGTGAAGAAGGAGCAAATGTTGGCTTGAGCAGGATGTGGGAAAGAGCATTTGAGACAGAAGGTACAGCATGGGCAAAGACCCTGAGGTGTAGAAGGACCTGACAGAGTCTTAGAATGAGGCCAAAGTTCAGATCACATCGAAATGGGCATATATAGGAGAAAAGGCCAGAGAGGAAGATGGGGGCGTGGGGGTGGAAGAGGAGGTGGTGAGGGGGGCGTGGCAAACCATGCAGAGGCTGTAGGCTGTGAGGAACTTCGCATTTTACTCTAACAGCAAGGGAAGCCATTCGAGGATCTGAAGCAGGGGAGAGCCATAGAAGAAAAGTTCAGGAATGTGCAAAACATGGACCTCAGCTTCCTTGAACATGTTTTTGCTGAATTCTGAAAGGTGAGTAGGAGTTAGACAGATGGGGTAGAGTAGGCATGTGAGGAGGTTTTAGGCCAAGGGTTGGCAAAGTTTCTCTATAAAGGGCCAGATAGTAAATATTTTCAATTTTGTGGGCCATACAATCTCCATTGTTGTGGTACTACCAAAACTACTAAAGACAATATATAAATGAATGGGCATGGATGCGTTCTAATAAAACTTTATTTACAAAAACACGTGGCAGGCAGGATTAGCCTGTGGGCTGCCCATAGTTTGCCAACTGCTGTTCTAGGCCAAGGGAACAGCAGGTGCAAAGCCACTAAAGTGGGAAGAAATGCGGTATAATCAAAGAACTGATTCAAGGTCACTGTGGCTGGAGTTGCAAAGGAGTGAGTGATTCATAAAAAGAATGGAGAAGTGGGCAAGTGCTGGATAATTTATGATTTTGTAGCCCATGTCAAGGATTTGGGATTTTCTCTTATTGCAAAGTCATTGAGTAATTTAAATAATTTTTATTTAACTATAAACACACATGGAAAAGTGCACATAAGTATATAGCTTGCCGAAGTTTTCACAAACTGAATATCCATATAATCAGCACCCAGATGAGAAAACAGAATGTTACCAAAAACTGAAAAAGACTCCCCTCGCACCTGCCTCGACTCTGCACCTCTCCTTCCAAAAGTAAGCATTATCTTGACTTTCAACAACATGTATGTTTGCCTGGTTTTGTACATTACATAAATGGAGTTATACAGTATGTATTCTGGTATCTTGCTTCTTTCCCTCAGAATATTGTCTATGAGATTCATCTGTTTTTGTACATGGAGATTGTTCATTCTCATTACATGAATATATTACAATTGGTTTATCTGTTATAATGTGGATGAGCATTTGGAAAATTTCTAGTTCTTGGCTGCTATGAATTGTGCTGTGAAGAAAGTTTGTGAATGTCTAGATAAATATGTATTTCCATTGGCTATATATACACTATAGTATAATTGCAGGGTCAGAGCATGGGTGTGTGGTCAAGGTCAGCTATAGTAGATACTGTAATACTGTTTTCCAAAGTGGTGCCATCATTTTACATTTTCCCTAGCAAAGTGTGAGCGTTTTCGTCTCCCCACATACTCAACTGTACTTGGTAATTTGCACTTTTTAAATTTTAGCTATTCTGGTTGTTTTGTAATGGCATCTCATTGTTTTTCATTTGCGTTTTTTTTGAATGAGTAAACAGGGGAGCATCTTCAAATGTTTATCAGCCATTGAAGACTTTTATGCCAGAGCATGGCACAACCATATTTGCATTCTAAGAAATCCTCTCCAGCTTCTGGTGTGGAATAAATAGGTGGGTGAAGAGCAAGATTCTAAGTAGGGATTCGAGTTAGGAGATTATGGCAGCGGTCTAGGCAGGGTGCAATAAAAGCTTGGTCTAAGGTAGTTGAGATGTAGATGGATTTGAGAGCCATTTTGGAGGTAAAATTGACAGGACCTGGCAATGAAGTAGATGCAGGATCTGAGAGAAGGAGGCATAAAAATTATAGCTTTAAAAATTCTGGTGAACCCACCATCCCTTTCTATTCTGTATTTGGGTTGCTATCATTACATACAGTTTCTTTAAGATTTTTTTGTTGTTTCTTTCCAAAGAGTGAAGAAGGAAATTTTAATTGGCAAGAAGAAACACACCTTTCAATTGTGTGTTTCAAAAGGAAACACAATTCAATTACATATGGTAATTGAATATGACCTTTTTATTATTCATTTTTTATTTGACTTTTCTTTCTTATTCTCTAGGGTTTCCAAATGTTTTATTTGCAGATGACTCAGAAACGAAACAATGCAAAGACCTAGCTAAGTATTACATTGGTGGTGACAGAATTCTCAGCAATGCAGAGACCTTTAGAGACTGCTTGCCTGGCTGGCGGGATAAAGTGTTTCAGAAGATGTTCTAATGACCTGCTCTTTCTATGGCTTATCTTCATTCGGATTTCGGAAAGGATTCAAATCCTGTGGGAATCCAAAGGATTATCCAGGATCTTAAGTGCATTCACGCTGAGAGGGCCCTGCCCCAAAGCTGGCAAGTCTGAGAGCGCTTCCTGCAGCCTGAGGAGCAGTGAGGGATGCGTGACAGACGAGGGAGGAGAGAGGCTGGCAGCCTGATTCCTGGCAGAAGCTGGAACAAGCTACGGCCATCTGCGGCCACCATTTTCTTTCATATTTTTTATTCTTTTAGGTAAGCCAAAAATGACCATCTCCTTTGAAGGCATAAAGACTGATCTTAGCTAGGGCACTCTAGCTATCCCTACCCCTAGCTTTCAACAAGGGAAGTATGCTCCTAAGTGACCTGAGACCTCTATCCCAAGACCGGTATGGCAGATGCCAATCATTATGTGGTGTCCTGTCCCCAGAATCCATATTGGAATGGAAGATGTGGCATGGCAGCTCTGTCTATGAATTCTTTCCTGGAGTCTCTCTCCTGGGGAGAGCGTCTTCTTCCCCTGACCTGGCTGTCCAGAGCACTCCAGCCTAACCGACCTCATCAGGCTCATGCAGGCTGGGCAAAAGAAGGACCCTTGGGAGTGTCATTAGCTGTTCCCTGAAATGTTCCTGAGTCATGTGGAATGTTCCATGGTTTAGGTCTCACAGGATTCCTTGGTGTCTATTAACAGAGCAGCAGCATTTTTATGTCTCTGGGACACATTTTTTCCCAGTGAGCTGGTTTCTTATGGGCAATTCCCATGATGCTATGACATCTATCTCTAATGCCGGCAAAGATGGGCTTGTTTATTGAAATTGGGAATATTACAATAAGCTCCCACACTTGCACTCTTGAGTTTCTCTCAGAATTTCCTGTTTGATCCAGATGTTTTCCTCTAAGAATTTTCCAAATGTAAAGAGAGCCAAATTTCACCTGGTGACATTTGTTTTCTATCTAATCAATATCCTCCAGCTGAGGGCTTAAGTTGTGTTTCTTGAAACCTCAAATTCCCATTCAGCTTTTCACAGCCATTGTGAGTCTAGGTAAGAGGGAAGAAAGATGGAGATGGGATACCAACACGTGTGGGGAACGATGTTCCTTCTGAGTACAAATTCTTGATAATCAAGAAATTTCAAAGCCACGATATGGTTTTCAGAGGTAGTTAAAGCTGGACTGGAATGTCTGCATGTGTGATATTAGGTAAGTTACTTAGACATCGTGTAAAATGCAATGAAGAGTATCTATTTCATATCTAACTCATAGTTTTTCAAGGAGTGAAGCCTCCAGCATAATGTCTAGCAGACACTTGGTAAATATTGATTTCTTTTATCTTTCTATATCTACGATTACTTCCCTAGGGCAGAATCTTAGAAAGGAAATTACTGAGAAAAAGCATGCAAATATTTTTTATAGAATCTCAAAGCTAATTACTTTTCAAAAATCATACTGTGATAAAAGCAATGTTTGTGAGTGTCCATCTCGCCACATGTTTGCCAACACTGAGCAAAAAAATCCTGTCAGCTGTTCCATTGTTCTATTCTCACCACTTTGATAGCAACTGCAGTTGAATATTTTTTCATATCTTTTTAACACTCAAGAGACTTCTGGGTTACTTTGCCTTTTGTATACTGGGACACTTTATCTTCTAGATACTGGGACTTACATAATACTTAATCTTCCATAAGCTCTCATTTCAAAATGTTGTTACCAAAACAGTCTCATTGTGCTCATTGTTTAACATGAATATGTTATAAATGTGAATATGTAAAATAAATCTTCATGAAGAAAATTCTACTGTTGTTGGTCTTATACATTAAGGTTTCATGTAGGATTTTAGTTGAAAAGAGGGTTCTGCTAAAACACACATACACACACACACACACACAAATCAGTTTGGAAATCGCTATCATATGTAAGAGGCTCCTCTCCTACATCTTGGTACCCTCACCAAACTTCTCATATGAAAGTGATAAGAAAGTTCTGATGCTGTCTGCCTGGCCCGGAGCAGGCCCTCTTTAGTCACAGCCCATAAAGCTGCTTCCACTCCTTGACTCGGAGTGAGGCAGGGTGACTGGAGGGTCTTTTTCTTCAACATGAGATCCACAGATCAGCAGCCTGGGCATCGCATCGCCTATGAGTTAGAAATGCAGAATCTCAGACCCCACCACATACCTGACAATTCGAAATCTCTGATTTTTAAAAGTTCAAGAATCACTGATATAGGGGAAGAAATACAGTCTTTGCAGTCAAAGGCCTTGACATCTACTTCCAGGCTCATAATGATTTAGCGGAATAATCTTGAGTAAGTCACTTAACCTCTTGGAGTGTCTGATTAATTTTTCTAACATGTTAAATGAGGATGGTAGCATCTCTGCCTTACAAGCTTGTTATTGGGAATGAAATGAGCTAAGATGTGGGAACATGCTCTGTGAGGTACTCAAATGAGAATCATGGCTGAGAATGGCCTTGCTTCTGAGTCATTACAACTGAGCTATGAAATCTGTGAATTAACTGAAAATTCTTCAGCTTTAAAAGAAATTTCTTGCTCTCACATTTTGCATTCCAGACCATTACTATTTCTCTGAGTCCCTTTTCTTAAGGTCTGGGAATTGCATGTAGAAATCTACAGACAGATCCCTTTAGGGTCCCTAAGCTGAGTATAAACTTGAACCTGATTCTTTTATTGTTTTCTGCATTTAGATTGGAAATTGGACTGTTGATAGGTCAAGAGTAGACTCACAAATCAAACATGTAGTTTCTCGTGAACAGTTTCCTTAAATCTATGCTCACGGTAAAGTGAGTATGAATCAGGTAAGTAATATTTCCATACATAATAAAGGAAAGTGGGAAATATACTCTGATTTAAAAACAAGCTTTACATACTCACTTATTTGTAGCAAAAACGTCAGCCAAACAGTGGGATCCAATGATGTGTTCTTACTGTGAAAACCAGTTATTGAGACAGGTTAAACATATTTCATGGTTTCTAACCTTTACTACATTCTCACTGGTAATTATTGTTTAGAGTCTACATTTTAGATGGTTGTTTAGCATTGACTTTGTATGGGAATGGTTTAAGTGTTTTCCATCAGTCTTTTTATTACACCTTTTTCGTTCGTCTCTCGTTGCTGGATTTATCACCATGTGGCTTCTTGGAGAGTCGCTTCATCTGATTCATTTTTAAAATGGCCATAACAATTTCCACACATTGGTTGTTGTGAGGAGTAAATAAGACAATTCATGTAAAGCTAGCCACGCCGAGCTTAGTACATTATAGATGCTCTATTAGCGAGGTTCTAAGAACCAAGGTGACACCTTCTTAAAGTTCAAGGTGTAGGAGGTGTCATTTTTTTGGGAACCAAGTCTTCTGTCACTGTGTATCATTTGCTTCCTTTTTTTTTTTCCCCAGAGAAGACATTCTCTAGATTGTTTTCATTACCAGCAATTTCCATTTGCACTATCCAAGTTCTGTTTTCCTAAAGACCGAGATAAATACTGTCCGTTCCTGCGAGACATTTGATCGATGATAACCTTGTTCTGCAGCAGAGATCTCTAAGCAATGAGGCACAAGGTTCTGTAGATGTGAAGGAGTCAAATGAATCCCACCCATTCTGTTAAACAAAAGTTATCGTGTTGCCAAGTGCTGTGGAATTATATAATTATCAGTTTTGCTTTGTTAGATAATTATGCTTTTTAAATGCATTCCTGAAAATAGCTTTAAAAAAAAAAATCTACATTTCTACCTTCTCTGAAACTTAGGGATAATTTGAAGGATAATTTTGTCCAATTTTCTTATTGCTAAAATGCTGCAAGAAACGTGATTAAAAGTGAACCAGAACAAAGTTAGGGCATTTTTTTTTTTTTTCATCCTTATTCTCTCCTCTGACACAGAAAAGGCTGTTTCATTTCCCTGGGTCTCATGTTCTCCGCCCACTCTCAGTGTAAGTGGGATGGTCTAAAGATTCATGGAACACTTGCAAAATTCTTGAAATTTCAAACCAAGAAGGTTCTGTGCAAGTGTAAAAGACAAAGACAAGGACTATACACAAAAGATAATGGATATCCAGACCTAGCCGTGACTGCCTTGCTTTCGTGTTGCCAAAGTAGCTGTGTCGCTGTCGTTTTTTGTTTCTAACGTGCTTATTTGGAAATTTATTCTTTTTCAATTTAGACCACTCATGAGGGTTTAGATCGCACCATTTACCAACTGTAGTTTCAAAAAACCCTCACAATTTTCAAATATTACAAAGCATGACATTAAAATGTCAGGACTAACAACAGTAGTTACAGATCATATAGAAGAGTTTTTTTTTTTTTTTTTTTTCACTCGGGTTTTTATTTGTGGT